AAATCGAGTTCAGCCATAACTGTACAAACCAAATAGGGCCAGAAAAATTTCCCAATGCTTTAGGAGTACTCAAAATTTCGACAGCTTCGTCGAAAGCAGTATACACGTGGGCTAACAAAAGTTTAACCAAACATATCCTAGGCTGGCCAGTATGGAGAAGGTAGGCAAGGTTGTAGAGGTGGGAGGAAATTTGGATGGATCGGGGGCAGAAAACATGGGTACATAGCCAATACACCAAAAAGGCTATATGTTCTTCGTCAGTCACAACTATCGATTCGTCATCGACGAAATGCTTCTCAAGGAAATGTCCATAGGCCTTCGATTCCCAATCGATTTTAGACCTCAAAGAATTATCCGAAGGGTAAGCACCCTTATAATACTTTTCCCTGGTGGGTTTTAGTCCGGTTATAGCAGCAACCTCAAAGAGAGTAGGTGAAAGGGGACCACAGGGTAACTCCAAAGCATGTAATTCCTTATTCCACAAATGCACCGCAGACAAAAACATTGTCATATCCAAAAATGACAAATCGCATCGAGATAGGTGTAAAAAATAAAAAATCCCTACATCTCTCCAGTGGTTCCCAAACTTGGCTTCTACTCTATCAAACCACCTAATAAATGAAGGTTTTTTGGAAGGAGGACCTGTTCGGTATACTCTCGAGACCATATTCAAAAAATTAGTCCAAACTTCAGGGTGGTGAATAAGTGCTGGGCTATTCGAGAGGGTGAAGGAAGAAAAAGTCCCACTACTAGAACGAATAGGACCCCCAAAACCAAAATTAACACCATCAGCAGTGTGAGGAATGAATACCTGCGTCTCAGCGACTTTCTGAGAAGCTTCCTCCATTAGAGGGACTGGAGCAAACTTCTGGTTATTGATCTCCAGAAGGTTAGCCGTCAGCGAAGGAAGAGGTGAAGCCGAAAAATCAGAAGACTTGGACGAGGTTGCCATTTCAATAAGCTAAGGAAAGCAGAAGGATAGAGGTTAAAAGGTGGGGTAGCAAAGACGAAGGCAAGAGCTCAAGGAGGAAGACGAAGTTGCAAAGAGGTAAAAAATTCGCGTAAAAAAATCAGAGTAAAAAACTAATAGAGTTTAAGGGGAAAGCTACCTAGGGTGCTGGAAACGACGGAAGCAAGGGCAATTAATGTGGCTTGTACTGCAAGGCAGCAAACTGACGAGACGGCGACATAAAGCAAAAAGAAACCCTAAAAACCCATAAACCCTAAAACCCGAGAAACCCTAAACCCTAAATTATTGTGGGCCTCCAACGAGCGAAAGCGGGAATCGTGTTGAAAGAATATAAACGGAAACTATTTATATTCTTCTAAGGGGGCATTTTGTTAGTGAGAAATCTATAAAAGGATCGAGAAAGTGAAGGGAAACAAAAAATCGAGAACTATACAAGTGATTAACAAGTCGATGCAATTGCTAAAACACCTGGTAAACACAAAGACAAAAACATATCGAGAATTGGAATCGAAAATCGAGGGAATAACGCTTAACGTCCGTTGGTGAAGAAAATCAGGAAAACAAAATCTGGTAACGTTAAGGATATCGAGAATCAAAAGCAAATCCAAAATTCTCGAAGTTGCGAAATCTAAATCGAAGGAAAGGCTAATATACGTGAATATCGAAATTTTGGCTAAGAAGAACGGTCGACGTATACATCGAACATAGTAAGCAGTAGCAAAAGTCGAAGGTCAAGGGAGCGGTTACCTCATTCATGGGAACGTGGATACAGTTTCTAAACCGCAGAGCTAGGAACAAAACTGCAAAAAACGTGCACAGAGAACGTGGTAGTAGTCTTCGTTAACTGCTTTTAAGAGACTACTTGAAAAGACACTATAAATAGAGCAAAGGATGAAAGGAAAGGGGAGCAGAAAATTGGCAGAGAACAGAATCATTAGTGAGAAGTCTACCGGAGAAACGACGAACATCATGAAGCTTCTGGCAATCTGGATTTCCATGCTCATTGAGTACCTTTACCGCTTTCTGTATTTTCCTTGGTAATTTACTTTGATGCAATTTATCTTTAGCAATTTTATGTTTCTGTACTTTCGATTTTTGGTCATTTCGATTCAATGAAAGTTAAGTTTCCGCGTTTAAGTTTCCTTGTCATTTAACATTAATGCAATTTCGATTTCCAGTTATTTATACTTTCTGCACATTTGATTTACTGTCATTTACATGTCCTGCAAACTCGATTTCCTGTTATTTACATTTCTGCTGTTTCGATTCCTTGTCTTTTATACTTAAAACGAATTTAAGGTCTTCGCATGTTACGTTTCTTTGCAATCTAATGTTCAGCACTGCTTTTCGATTCCATAAATTTTCTGCTTTCTTTACTTCGAGCACTTTAAATATAAAACACCAAAAAATAATATTTTTGAAATCGGGTAAAATTCGATCCTCGTACGCATCTCGATTGAAAACTAATTTGCTAGCCTAAGTAAAAAGAACTTACGTGGTAGAATTTTGATTAGGATCAAAATATCTTAAGAGTCGAAATCGATCGAAATTCCACCAGAAACAATTTGATATTGTAAAAGAATAACTATTATTTTAACCTGTGTTAATTTTATGGGGTAAAATAAATATTTTAAATGCAGAAATCATATTAAAATCAGATTTCACAATAACAAATTTATTAAACAATTTAATTCATGATAAAAAAACAAAATGCCTAACTATAGGATTGAAATAACCAAAAAATTTCTACGAGACTAAAAAAATCTATAAAGATATTTAAACTACATTAAAATGAAAAAAAAATACTTTTCATATTTACAAACCCTTTATTTTCTTGTTTGGCTTCTCCTTATACTATATGATAGAAAATGAGAAATTTTTTTGAAAAAGAGAATAGAAATCTGAAAAATAAGATAAAATAATTTATTATTGATAAATTTATTTATTATTTTAATATTATTAATTATTATTGTTAGAATAAAAAATGAATGAAAAAGTTATGAAATAATTGATTGTATCTTTAATCATATATTACATTAAAAATATAATTAATTATATATGTTTTTCTCACTATTAAGAGAGCATGTCTCCTAATTTTTGGTAACAGATCAAAATAAACTATTTCGTTTTTATGTTATCCTTAGTCTTATTATTTGGAAACAAATACACCATAAGGATACGCTGGTTTTCAAGTATAGATTCTAAGCATAAGACATTATTTTTAAGATTTTAGGTTAACAAAATTATAAGATTTTCATTGTAATAATTAAGTTATTGTATTAGAACTCAAATTAATAAAATAATGATAATAAAAAGAATTAAACTTTATGTCCTAAATTGCGTGGCACCGAGAAAAAAAATAATACAAGATATCTATCTCTAAACATGATCTAAGTAAATAAACTTAAAACCTAAACAGAAATTTGATTGAGGCAAATGACAACTAAAAAAGCAGCACAAACTATAAGTTGGTGATTTGTCTTGCGTTGACACTTGTCATTTATTAGCAGTAACAACGTTTTGAGATGTTGCATTCTTCAGTGTGGAATATCGGTAACATGCCACCACTGAAGCTTTATTGCCGTTGTCGTGTGATTTAATTAACCAAGAGAAATGCTTTTGTTGTGTCCTCCTGATTCACGATATCAGAATAATATGCTGACGCATTTACTAAATCATTGCTACTCATCATGCGTTGAAACTTTCAACTGATCGAAAGTTGAAAAAAAGAAAAATCTGTAACTTTAAAACGTGATACTACTCGAAACGGATATTTATAGCCACGACGCTGTTAAACCTTTATTTTTAAATATAAATATTTTAAGATTGGATTATGTAAATTGAGATAAATGCTAATTTTTATTATTTTTAAAAAATTAATAATTTTTTATTAATATTTTTTATTTGAAATTATTTGTAATAACTTATTATATTCTATAATTAAAATATATAAAGATATAATCGATAAAAGAATAAGTAATACAATTTAAACTTTGCGTCTAATAGTTGTTTTAGACAGTAAGGTGTTTGGTTTACGTAAACGACATATTTATAATATATATATATATATATATATATATATATATATATATATATATATATATATATATATATATATATATATATATATATATATATTACATTCAAGCTCAATAAAACAATAGATGGTAATGATATTTTAAAACAAAAATAAGTTGAGATAAAGGAGACAAATTCATTCATTATTTGTTTACGCAATAAAAAATATATATTGTAATCATAGTTTTGTTGGATATTAGACAACTCTTGTTTGCATATTATTTTTTTTTCATCTGAACTCAGACTTTGAGAAACATGACAGGGTTGTTTTCGCAAAGTCAGCCTGAAAATTGAAATTTATTTTAAACTTATATTTAAAAATTGTAATCCAAATAATAAACTTAACTGTTGAGAAAGGAAACTAAATAAAGAAAAGAAGTACAAACCTGAAATTAACTTAACTAAAATGGTCAAAGCAAACAAATTTGAAAAGTTAATGAAAGTGACTGAAAGGTTGCATATACTGTTCTTTGAGCGCGAAACAGAGGGTGTGGCATGTAGTATTGGAAATATTTTCTATAGTTGCCAAGCAAACAAATTTTACGGCTTACAAAATAGCAACTAACGGATTAAATTAACTACTGCAGTTTTAATCTGCGAACAAGTGTTTTTTGCGAACCATCTGAGGAAGCGTTCAGGTTAATAAAACTATCTAATGTAGGAATAACAAGCAAAACTTAAAGATAATTAAACCCCATTCCCCCCCCCCCCAGAGATGGAATTCCTTAGAAAGTTAGCTATGGAAACCCAGAATTAGTGTCGGCAGTAAAAGCAAAATGGCAACTTGAATAATAAAACTAATATATATATATATATATATTAAATCACAATCAGTTACAGAGGTGTGCTACTGAATAAGTTAGCTTTAAATGTAACGGGGTTCTCAGGGAAAACAAAAAAACAGTATTTCTTCTGTGACTCGGGAGTATTGGGATTTTGGGCATGCTTCAACTTATTCAACCTTTTTGCTAGACTTGTCGTTACTCTCTTGAGGTGAATTGGCAGTCTTTGACTCATCGAAGTCCAACAACTGCGTCGATAGAGTATGCAAAACTGTTAGAATTAGCTAAAAAACCAAACCACATGTTGGACGCATACATGGTAGGCATAAATCCTAACCATCTTCAAGTCCTAACTCGTAACTATTTAATACGCAATCATATATAGCATTCAAAACATAGTCATAGTGCATTGCAAAAAAAAATAAAAAATTCAATGGAACCTTTTAAAACCGTTTATAACAAAAGTGAAGTTTCGCTTAGAAGGAAGAAAACATAAGTTCATCTTCTGCATCCATGTATCTTCAGATTTCTTAAATTGCTGATACTATTAAACTAAATTGAAAACATGGATACCTACATGTAATATAAACACCTTTAAATGTGAAACGGCTGTTCACCAGTCTAGTTAAAGGTATATTTATTTAGCATATATTAGTTAGAGGTAAACAGATACTAACGATCATGTCAATTAATAGTCTATATAGGATTTAAGTTTTCGTCTATCGTCAATGACTAAATTCCCCCAACATTAGTGGCTCTTTCATGGCTCCACCTAATAAAAATTGTCAAAAGTTTGACAGCAATATGAATGACGGCCATCTTATGGTTTATTGATGGGGAAAAGAGCTCAACGTGATAAATCCAATTTTCACACTATTCATCATAAATAGTATTTAACATAAAACATGAAGCAGCATTATATTATGCTATAGTGAAACTAATGATTGAAAGCAAACTAGATGTATACAAAAGGATGCATTATGAGAGCGATGAAACAGAAAAAGTAAGCAAAGAAACAAACCTGTTTGACATCACCATTCCATAAGCAATGAGCAGCCAAGAATCCAATTACAGAAGGTACAATATACAAAAGAGCAGGCTAGCAAAAGGAATACAATTAAGGGAAAAAATTAGTAGCGAGGTTTGATCACCAAAAATCCATTACAGTTCCACAAGTTCAGCCAGCCATGTATTAGAAATTTACAATAGTATTTGACATTCATAACTACTGACTACAATCCCAGACATCCCCCCAAACTACAAAAAAGCACAATAGATGAAACAGATTAGCTACCTGTGCAGCCTGAAACCAGTTCATGACAATAATCGTAAGGACCAAGCCAACAGTGTATCCTACAAATGCACTTTTGAAATATTGGGGCTGTTTTCCTCTGGACACATCAAACCGCAAAGCCAATGCTACAAAAATACCTGAAGGGAAAAAATATATAATAAAAAATAAATAGAAGTAACGAGTAACATAACGAAATGAAGTAACAGGGAAATGATTATAGGGAAATTTTTTGTTCATTGAGTATGCATGGGAAAAAATATGTAGTCAAAATAAATAGAAGTAACAACAGCGGAATGATTATAGTCTTTACTGAGACAGAATGATTTCTGACACAAATTGACAAAGATGTTCATAAAACTAGGGAGAATATTTATTTATCACTATAATTTAATGTTGTAACTGTAAACTAATAACAAGCAAAATCATGAAGTTGCCTCTATTATACCTGACCTACCATTTAAATATAGCATTTGGATTTATGAATGCAACAAATGTTTAAAAAGCAATCTTTAAAATGGAGTCACCAAGTTTGATTAGTTAGGCAAACTCAACAAATTTGACAATTTAGTCCAACAAAGCAGTTTTTCTTAATAATGGCAAAAATAAGGGTTCAAATAATGTGAGAGAATCTGAGGGAGCTAACCCTCCCAAACTCTAACTTTTTGTTCCCCCACATATTGGGGGTTATATTATGTTAAAACTTAACACTCGTGTCCTTTTACGTTCCTCTATCTTCCGTCATCTGATCAACAAAGAAGGAGGAACATGGGATTATATCTCTTTTCCATTCCACCCCATCCCATTTATATTTAGCAATATTACAGTCCCTAGAGCACCACACAAGTCCAAACAGGCTGTTCCACACTAAAAGACCAGAAAATTCACTTGTGTTGTGACATGACAGAGAAGTGAAATGCACACTTACTTTCCATGTGTCAACATCATTTAATCCTTTTTCCGTTCCATACCATTTTCTCAAAACCTTCTAACATAGGTTATTAAAATATGGTAACAGAAACAAAGTAAGAGCTGACAGGGAAACGTCACAAATGAAATATATCAACGAAGAGTCAACCTACCAGGGATAACAATATCACCAAGTCCAAGCATTGAAAATGGTCTTGCAGAATCTGATGTGGGGAACAAAAGCTGCAAAATAATTTGTATGACAATATTAGGAATAAATTTATTACAATTTTTATCTGATATCACAGTAAATACACAACTAATGTTCAAACAAAGATGGACAAACAGAAATTTCCATTTCATTTAGCTAAAGTTTTAACCTTTATTGGAGCATCGAATGATTTTGCAACGCTAACCATAACTGGAGTGAAGAAAACCCAGAAAATGTCATATACAAATAGACCAGCCTGTAAAATACATGAAACGTAAGAAAGTCAATGACCATATTAAAAAAATATATATATTGTACAACGAAAAGCATATGCTATATCTTTTGGAAAATAAGACTAAATTATTATATCTGTAGGAAATAAACTATAATTAGCACTCAGAAGCATTTCATGAGCTTGTAACTGATAGAAAAGGTCAAAAGAAAATGAGGAAATTAGATGATAGAGCAAGCCAAGGTCAAGAGACCTTTTAATTGTATTTTATTACAACTAAAAAGGGTAAATGTTTATCTTCACAAACGGCACATACACGTATGATCTGGTTTATCCACAACAAAAGGATTGTTGGTATATATCTTTCTTAAATAAAAATTTTGATCACCATTAATTACAAAAAAAAGAATTAATTATAAAAAAAAAAGAAAAACACCTACCAAGAGAATAGCACCAGTCTTGAAAGACCCAAGAGAAAGCATTTCAATTCCCTGTAAGAGATAAATATGTACTCTTTGGTGTCAATTACAGTTTACTAATAAAAAAACTGATTCAGAATTCAACACATTGATAGCATAAATGATAGAATGGTTTAATTTATTTATCAAAATTCATTTTTTAAGCAATAAGCTTAACTCTCGAAAGGTATTGTGCTTCAAAGCATGAAAGTGGGTACCAAAAAATTTGTATAACAAACATAATAAATTCATTGGTTCAATGGATAAAAAAGATTTATTATAAAAAAATGGTTGATATGAACATTTATATATAGGAAAAATGACTAACCTGAATACAGAAAGCAAGACCCAATATATTATTTGCTAGCCAATGCTTCCGCAAAGCATACCAAGCACAAAAAAATGTCCCAGGGATTCCAGCAACGGCCTGTGACCTTGTAAACTCAATCTCCAAAGCTGTATAAGAAATGTGTAAGCAAAATAAAATAAAATTCTGCGTCATAGAATAAACTTACTGTCAATTTGATAAAGTGCAAACAGCTAACAACACCAACAATTCAAATCAAGAGGATAACATGTCATGATAATATATAAAGAATGAAAAAACCAACAACATAGATAGTAAAGCATAATAATTGGCCAAAGACCTCGAGCATTTTGATATTTCATTGGGCACATCACAAGTAGTAACAGCCACAAGTGGTCAAATGTTGTATTAATTGAAATGTGGAACTAGATACATTGCAGTAGAGAGCAAAAACATTGTCATTGACAATAAAAAAATAAAAAAGTAGCAGGGTGTGACATACATCGGAAATATGGAAAACGCCAGGCTATGATGTCCTCATTCCAATGCTTCGGCAGAAAACGTTTAATAAATGGTAACAATGTTGCCCTGTAGACAGTGGAAAGGAAAGTGTTTGATAAATAGAAAATGTTCTGAAAAAAGATGTTTGACACTATGACAAGCACATTGAAAATGAGGAAAAGAACATACGAAAGCGCAACAATCCCAAGTATAAAGAAGTAGCCTGTCAATACAGTGTTCACCAAGTCCTTGGATAGAAACTTGAAGAGTAAGAAAAGAGACAATAACATCGCACTCCCAACAAAGGGAAAACGCATGGCATGTTCATTCGACATTGTCTCCTGCAAAATCATTTGCCACACAAAATTCACAGAAATCAGATCTTGAACCACGAAAAAACACAACATAAAGAAAAAGATAAGCAGATTAACTACTTACAGTTGGTGGAGTTGGTTTGACAGAGCGGTAGCATCCCACGAACACAGTGAGGCAAGCAGTCAAAATAACATTTAAATTCGGATCTACTTTCACAAAAAGCGGTGCTAAGGTTAAACCTGAGATCACAAATAAATTGCAAATAATAATGAGAAATTGAGGATAAAAAACAAACCCACTCTCCCTCTCTCACTCGTGCACTGACATTATTAAATAAAACAAGGCCGAGAACCCAAAATCAATATCCCAAGATTTCAGATTTCAGAACCAAATTTCAATTTGAAAGCAACTACATTGTACTAGAATGCCGAAACTTGTTATGAATTACACAGTAACTCGAATGTATCTTAATAAGAGTATCAACTGCAGCATGACACAGAAGAAGCAAACCTGTTAAAGCCAAATTCGCAATTCGTTCGGTTTTCTTCATTCTCCTTAACCTCTTTTCTGAACAATTTCGGATCTGATGAACTCAAACGATACGTGAATGGCCTCCACTGCGATTAAACAACAGCACGAATCACAAAAGTTGAAAAACAAATAAAAAATCGTCGGTCAATCTTGCAAAAGGAAAGACGGAAACCTCCAATCGCAAAAGGATATTGCAGGAGCGGTTGGCCCCAGCAGCAAAGCAGATAAGAGAGAGAAAGAGAAATTGATTTGGGAAATGAAAAGAAAAGAACAGATAATTGAAGAAGGGTTAGGGTTTTATGATTTACCGTGTCAGTGAGAGAGAGGAGTTTACTGAGGTTAGAGCCAATACTTGGTAACGTGGCGAACGGTAAATTGACGGGATTGTTTTTGTTTTGTGTTGTAAGGATCAATTGGGTTCTACGGTTACGATGACGAAGATGTGAAACTTACTCTAATAAACGACCCACGTAATTAGAGCTCTCTCACCCAATCAAATACTCCCGAGTTGCCACGTAGGAATTCTGAATTTTTGTCTTCCTTAAATCAGTGTTAAAAAGGAAAGCGCAATATATCATATCATTTAGATAAAACTTTAATTTTATTAACCCATATATTTGGGTGTCTTAAATTTTTTTATCGAAAATAAAAATTAGATAATATAATTTAAAAAATTCAGTTAATAAATAATTGGAAATATTAAAAAAATTGCATAAAAATATAATTACAAAAATTAATAAAAAAAGTATCAAAACATGATAAAATCATAAAAAATTACAACAATTAATCTCCTTATTAATAACTATAAATATTATTATTTGTTGGTAAATTTTTTATATTATAAAATATTTATTTCATTATCTAGTTTTTTTTTTCAAAATATGAAATTGAAAATGTTTGTTTCTTACATTTTATCTATATTTTTTCACATGAAAATTCGATGAAATAAATCATAATTTAATTTTTTATTCTCATAAACATATTATGTTATTTGATTAAATTATTTTATACGATAAATAAATAAAACTTGAATAATAAAATGAAAATTATATATAAATATTGTAAAATATATATAACAAATTATATCATTCTAAAAAACATAATTTTCAAAAGTTATAAATTTTAAAAATAACATTATCTGAAAATTTCATTCCATTTTATCAAATACGGCAGATAATCCGGTTTCCGTCTTAAATTTAATTTTATTAGTATTATTATTTAAATTGAGGGAAAGAGAGTTGAAAGTAAAAAAAAAAAAAGTGAATAGAAAAATGTTAATTGATAAGATTGATTTTATATAAAAAAATAAATAATAAAGTAAATTAAAAAATAATAAAAAGTAAATTTATTTGAATAAAGAAAAATGTAAAAAATAAATAAAAAATATATATTTTTAATATATTATTTACTAATAATAATAATAATTATTATTATTATTATTATTATTTAATTTTAAAAAAATTGATTATGTTAATAAGGATAATCGAATATCCTTTTTATTCGTAAATCTTCACTAAAATGAGAAGAAAGTGGGAAGTTTTGTTTTATTAGAAAAAACAATAATGGAAAATTTAACTTTTTGTGCACATTCCATGTTTTCTACTCTCTACATAAATCTGCGCTTAGAAACAAGCATGCCATTCACGAGTAGTGATATTTTATTCATTGAAATATATTTAAACCTTTATTATTACGAGGTGAACATAAATTCGTTGATAATTGAACCTTCGTATTTGCATGGTTTGCATGTAATTTGTTGTGTTTAATGGCTTAGCACATCTTTGTTCTTGATAAAGCGTGAGTTTCTTTTAATTTTTTTTTATTTTGTACTTTGTTTCAACTCTATATATAGTTTTTATGTTTTGATTATTAACATACAAGTGAATAAATTTTTTCGTGTTTTTTCATTTCTTCTCTTTCTCTCTCTTATCTTGTTTTGTTTTTCATTCTCAAGCACTGTCCATTGTTTTCCTCGTGCGTGAATTTACAAATGGATGCTACAAGCCACGTTTTCCTTGTTGAAAGCATGATCTTTGATATGGTATCAGAGCTCTTCATTTAAAAAGCTCTGTTATGCACTCTGATCCTCTTCCTTTCCTCTCTTGTACCGTTTCTTGTTTGATGGAAGAAGAAGAAGTCGTTATCAAATTCCAATTATGAAAGATTACATGTACATACATCCTAGTGAAAATCCTGCTACCAGCCTTGTTTCTCCTGTTCTTGATACAAATAAGTATCATTCTTGGTATCGCTCAATGATAACAACATTAAGTGCGAAAAACAAACTGGAATTTGTGGACGGAACTGCATTGGAACCTGACAAGAATGACCAGTCTTACCTTGCATGGAAAAGGTGCAACAATATGGTAGTTTCTTGGATTGTGCATTCTGTATCTCCGTCCATTCGACAAAGTATATTATAGATGGATAAGGCTGAAGAGGGTCGATCTAAGGTCTCGATATTTTCAGGGAAATATGCTTCGCATTTCAGACTTACAAATGGATGGCTCAACATTTAATCAAGGAGATATTTCAATTACTGAGTTCTTCACAAAACTTAGAGTTATATGGGATGAAATTGATAATTTCAGACCCGATCCCATATGCGTTTGTGGTATTAAATGTTCTTGCGCTGCCTTCAACATCATTGCTCAGAGAAAAAGGGAAGACCAAGCAATGCAATTCCTCAGAGGCTTAAATGAGCAATACGCAGATATTAAGTCCCATGTCCTTCTCATGGATCTCATTCCTCCCTTGTCCAAAATATTCTCTTACGTTGTGCAACAAGAAAGACAATTACTGGGTAATAATCTTACTTCGAATCTTGATTCTAGAATTAACAGCGTTAGTTCAAACAATTGCAGATTTTGCGGACGCACTGGACATACAAAAGTTGTATGTTATAAAAAACATGATTTTCCTAATAACCAAGATACCAAGAACGAAAATAATAAGAAAATATGCACACATTGTGGGAAAACTGGGCACATTATAGATATCTGCTACAAGAAACATGCCTACCCACCGGGACATAAATTCTTGAACGTCAAGAATAACATTAATTGTTGGAAAATTAAAAATAATAATAATAATAATAATAATCCTGTTTTTGATTCTAACTATCAAACATAAACATAATCCCATACTGATAAACATGTTGTAAACTGAATGCGAAAGCGTACCTGAATTAGTCATAATGATGATGTCTTTGTAGAGCAGTATATTGATCTTATGGTCTTCCACCTGAAGAACACTTGTATTTCCCTCTTGATTTTCTCTCTTGATGGGGATAAAAAGAAAGAAACGGGACTGATACTTACGTTCTGTGTGTGTGCTCCCAGAAGGGGACCATGACTCTTTAGATAACCAGAATTAGGTTAATTACTTAAGTTTTAGTATTTCTAATTTGACCCCTCATCAAATTAGAAATTGCTCAATGGTCTCTACACAATTTTATTTTCAAGACATATGCTTTTAGCCAAAACTTTAATTTAGTCAGATCACTTTATTATTTGGCTTAATAAATAATGACCCTAACACATTTAAATTATGTATCATATATATACATGATCCAAATTTTGCCAACAATCTCTCACTGGTCACAAATATATATGTCCTTACAACCTTACAAATGTGTTAGACTTTATGAGCTTAAAATTGTCATTATATTCCTTTAACATACTCCAAAAGTCTTGTCCATTAATCATATCATGATATAGAACCAAACCAGCTTTTCATTGCATCATCGTAACTAAAACCAATAATGATTACTCATCCTAACATAACCAAATGACATGGATTCATCATGAAATGTGTAGCATGAAAAATTACGTGAAGGTGATTTGTACACGTCTATTTTCAACTGGTCCAAACTTTAACTTATCGAGATCGATATAATATCCTTAATGTACAAAGTGTAATGAATGAACGAAAAACCGAATATCTATAGATAACCAAATATGTCCAAAAAATCAATGTATACATATATGAAATTAATCATAGAACATAAAATATATGAAGTGACTAACTCCCACTAAACCACAAATTCCTCAAACTGTAAAACACCCATGTGAGCAAAATGCTCATGAAAGACCTTGGGCGGAAGTCCTTTAGTCAGAGGATCTGATATCATGGAGTTTGTCCTTAAGTGTTCTATAAAAATCTGTCCACTTTGTACTATTTCCTTAACAATATAGCTGATTTATTGTCACAATATAACTTATGTGATCTTTCAATACCTTTCACAATTTGCAGCCTCGTGACAAAATTTATCAGCCATATTCCATGATTTGATGTCTCATAGCATGTTACAAATTCTTGACATCCTACAAAATCTGAGTCAGAAAACCCAGCGATCTCCAACTGGTCCAACCTCCTATATGTGAGCATATAATCTTTTGTTCTCTTTAAATATCTTATGACCCTTTTTGCTGCTTTTCAATGGTCTATTCCTGGATTGCTTAAATATCTGCCTAGAACCCCAACTATATATTCTATGTCTGGATGCGTACATACTTGGGCATAGATCAAACTCCCTACAACTGATGCATAGGAAATCTTTTGCATTTCCTCAATTTCTAAATTCCCCTTTGGGTACTGATTGAGACTAAATTTGTCCTCCTTTAAACTTGTGATACACACAATCATCAACAATATTCATCTTGAAGCCAAATGAGTTTCATACCTTCTGGTAATGGGACAAGTTCCCAAACCTTATTATCTTGCATGGACTTATACTTCTCCTATTGCTTCAATCCACTTTTGAGAGTTAGAACCTTGTATAACTTGACGGAAGTTAACTGGGTCATCTTCCATTATATCATTATTTTCCTCATGTTCCTGAAGAAATACCATGTAATCATCTGAAATAGCACTTCTTCTTTCTCTAATGGATCTCTGCAAAGTTATTAGCTCATGATGCACAGGTTCTTGAGGATCTTGAGGATCTTGAGTTTGTTCTCCATGAACAACCAAATCATCTTGAGTAAGGGGTTCATCAACAATGTCTTGTGGAGGTTT